ACGTGATCCCCAGCACAAGATACTGGAAGAAGCTTGTTCGAAGAAAAAAAAAAAAATGACCCAGGGGACCACACAGTCCTCTTGAAGCAGCTGGAGTTTAATTAAAAGCGTATTGATCATTTGAGCAAGTCTCTGGAGGGCAGAACAAGAAGGAAGAGCTTCGGTTCACAAAGCAGGGCTCTCAGTTGGCACGAGGAGGCGCCTCCTCCCAGGAAGATGGCCTCCCCCCACCCCCCCCCAGAACAGACCCCTGCTCAAGGGAGTGGGGAGCTCCTGGCCGTGGGGTCTCCCTCCCCTGCACCTGCCCGGGACTGCTGAGCATGGGAAGCCGTCCCTCCTGAGCTGGACCAGCCTTTACCCTGCGGCAGCCTCTGTCCCCTGCCAGAGCCCATCTCCAGGCCTAGGGGGTCTCGGGGTGGGTTCCTGTACAGGCCCCTGGCCTTGTGCCCGCGGGGGCCACCAGTGCTGGTGAGATGAGGTGGTGGGCAAGGCGGGAGGCTTCAAGGGAGGTGCCCCTTGGGGTGTCTTCATTACGCCAAAGGCCAGGAAGGGGCACCCTTGTTTAAAACGCTCCTTCTCCTGGGCTGGTCCAAGTCAAAATCCCCTTGGCTGACATCCTTCTGTGCCCTGGGGTGGAGGCCCCCAGGGCCCCAAAGGCAGCTTCATTCCTGGGGAGTAGTGGGTGGGGAGGATGGAGGGGTGCTGGGGTACACGGTGCTTGCTTGGCAGTAAGAGGGCTGGAGTGGAGGACATGGAACTGAAGATCCAGCAAATTCACAAACCGGCCGAAAGCCCCATCCCCAGCGGTTCCCTCCCTGCACAGGGAGGCACGTGGCCCTTACCAAAATGCAGATGCCCCTAGGGGCCAGGGCGCCAGCCTAGGACTCTGCATTTTCACGCAGAGTAAATTCTGATTCGGGGGCAGAGGACCCGGGGCCACATTTTGAAAAACACTGAAAGTCAGGAGCAGTGGACACCTGCCTACAACTTGGATCAGCCTCTGGAAGGTGGGAGAATCCCCAAAGTGGAGCCTTAGGGCCAAGGAAGGTCTGGAGACTGGGCTTCTGCTAGAAAATTCCTGGGAGAGAGAGGTGGGGCAGGGGCGGGGTCCTGCCAGACAGATTCTCTGGTCTCGTCCATCTCACGCAGCTGGATGTCCATTCGGAGGTTCTTCTCATGTCATGCTCTGAATCATAGACGGTCTCGCTGCATGCTGGGTGCCCCATGCTCTCGGGCACAGGAACGATGCCAGGTGGGGCGAGCAGTGACTGGGGGGCCTTTCCCCGTCCACAGGCACAGGCCATGTCCCTCTGGGAGCTCCCTGACCCAATTCCGGGCGAGCACGCCACGCTTGTCCTGAACGTTTGTCTGACACACATTTGGGGGGTGGGCGTCCGTGCCACCCCCAGGGGAACGAGGTGTTGGCCGCCCCGCTCAGCCTGTCCACACACACCCAAAGCCCCCCCGCCCCCCAGAGCATTGCAGAACACATGGGGGCCACGGCCTGTCTGGACAGGCAGGGTGCCCAGAAGGGCCAGTGCACGTACCCACATGTGGCCTGGGACAGATGCCCACCTGTCTGCCTCAGTTTCCTCCTCTGTGAAGTGGTGATCATTACAGCACCTACTTCCCTTTGGGGTTGTTTTGCAGATGACATGTTGATGCCTGTTGGGGCATCTTCTGTTTTGAAATTAGTTGAGAGTGGCCTGCATCTCTCTCAACCTCCGATGAGCCCTGGCTGGACAATTCTTCCACTTTATTGAAACCAGAGAAAGGGCAAAGCCATTAACTTCCTCTTTTTTTTTTTTTTTTTTTTTAAGATTTTTTTTTTTTTTTTTTTTTTTTTTTTTTTTTTTGCGAGAGAGAGAGAGTGAGAACGTTCATGAGCTGGGGGAGAGGCAGATGGAGAAGGAGAGGCAGATACCCCTCTGAGCAGGGAGCCCAATGCGGGCTCCATCCCAGGAACCTGGGACCTGAGCCAAAGGCAGACACTTAACCGACTGAGTCACCCAGGCGCCCCCAATAAGTTCCTCTTTTAAAGCATTTACAACAGTGCTTGAAGCATAGTAAGTTCTATATAAATCATGTAAAAATAAATTAGCAAAGGGCCCTAATTTAGACTTTTGATGTAATCTCTAAAAAAGGCTGTACAGGCAGGTGCGGGATAAAGATGACACTTGTCACAAATCTCTGAACCACATGCCTCCCCCTCCTGGCGGGCACACGAACGTTCACAAACCCCATCGGGCCTGGTGAAAAGCACGGTCACACTCCCAACTGTTTCCTGAATATCAAAGCTCTCAGTTTGCTAAATTGGGGTTTTACAATATGCCATGAGTTCCGAAGCCTGTTTTGGAGGTTGTTGGGTTTTAATTTACAAGGAGTCTCAAAAGACAGTGTGGCCTGGGCCTCTAGCGACCTCTCAGTTGGCATGGCTGGATGACACTTTCCACCTCTCTAGTCAGAGGGAACAAAGGCTGGGGCGCCTGGGTGGCTCAGTCGGTTAAGCGTCTGCCTTCGGCTCGGGTCATGGTGCCAGGGTCCTGGGATCGAGCCCCGCATCGGGGGCTCCCTGCTCAGTGTGGAGTCGACTCCTCCCTCTCCCTCTGCTCCTCCCCCTCGCTCGTGCTCTCTCTGTGTCTCTCTCAAATAAATAATCTAAAAAAAAAAAAAAAAAAGGAGCAAAGACCACCCCCACGCTCTCGAGCGGGCCAGAAGGAATGCACATATCTAGAAGAGAGACAGGCAAAGGGTCTGGCTAAAGAGGGACGCACACACCATCTGAACTCTGAGCCCCCTCCTCTCTGCTCTAGGCTGCAGGTGTCCTCCTGCCCTGCCTCGTGGCCCCAGCCTGTTCGCACTTGTGCCTTCGGGACCCATGCTGACTATAGAGCAATTTGGGGAAGGGCAGGTAGAGGAATGCTGAGCCCCAGGGATACTCACACTTGCAAAAATCACAATAGGAGATTCTAGTTCCTGCGGAACAAAGCAAATTCCTGCCCAGGTGTGCTGGGCAGCCTCTCGGATGGGCCCCAGTGACACCCACCTCCTGCCTTGTGGAACCCCCTCTCCTAGAGGGCGGGCCGGACCTGGTGACTCGCTTCTAAAAAACAGTGCAAGGGGGGCGCCTGGGGGGCTCAGTCGTTAAGCGTCTGCCTTGGGCTCAGGTCAAGATCCCAGGGTCCTGGGATCGGGTCCCGTATCAGGCTCCCTGCTCCACGGGAAGCGTGCTTCTCCCTCTCCCACTCCCCTGCTTGTGTTCCTGCCCTCGCTGTCTCTCTGTCAAATAAATAAATAAATCTTAAAAAAAAAACAAGACAGTGCAGGAAAAGCGCTGCAGTATCACTTCTGAGATTAGGTTACCAGGAGCCTGCGGCCTCCGCCCTGGGTGACGTCACTGCAGTCCCTGCCAGCTCTCGGAGCCCCTTTTGGTTTATTTTTTTATTTTTTAAGGTTTTGTTTATTTATTTGAGAGAGAGAGCATGGGTGGGGGTGGGTAGGGGGAGAGGGGCAGAGGGAGAGGGAGAAGCAGACTCCCCACAGAGCGGGGAGCCCGACACAGGGCTCGATCACAGGACCCAGACATCATGACCTGAGCTGAAGGCAGGAAACCTAACCGACTGAACCACCCAGGCGCCCCTCGGAGGCCCTTTTTAAAATCTTTGGTTCGGGGCATCTGGCCGGCTCAGTTGGCAGAGCATGTGACTCCTGATCTCAGGGTTGTGAGTTCGAGCCCACATGGGGTGTAGAGGTTACTTAAAAATAAAATCTTAAAAAAGAAAACCATTGATTAGGTTATGTCCTGACCTCCAGGGACTCCCTGTTGCTCCTGGAATCAAATCCAACCCCTTCCTGCTGCCTGCATAGGGCCCTGGGGTTGGGGGGGGGCGTCTCCAGCCCGCCCACCCTCCCCTCACATCTCCCGGGAACAACCAGGTCTCTGGTCCTCAGAGGACACCACTGGGCAGCCGGTTGCCACCGGAAATCCAGAAATCCCTGGGGGCCCTTGCGCTCGCTGCAGCCCCAACCAGGACCCCTGCCCTCGGGTCTGCCTGGGCCGGGGGGGGGGGGTCTCCCAGGGAAGGCCCCCCGCCCTAGCTGATTCAGCACCACCTGACCTGCTGCTGTCTCTCCCACCGGGCGACCCTCGGGCTTCGGTCTCTTCAGCGCACGAGTCCTTGTCTGACATTATCCTGTACGCTTGTTGGCTCACTGTCCCGCTCCCTCCCTTAGAAGGGGCAGGTGTAGGAGAGCGGGGGACGGCCTTACATCCGCGTTCCCAGAGCCCGGGGCGGGGCGGGGGGGGGGGGGGCGCCGAGGCAGTAGGCAGACAGCAGGTATTTGCTGAGTGAGTGATACAAGGTTACGTATTAGGTGCTCAGTAAATATTTATGGGAGGAATGCGCCCGTACCTAGGGACACTATACAGTCCCTCAAATCAGGGGCACTGAGGTCCTGGTCCTCTGGGCTGAGCAGGGGGCCCCCAGCACGGCACACAGTAGGTGCTTATTTCATCATGGCCAAAGGGAACGGAGACTCTCCCGACCGTAGTCTCCACCCGCACATTTGAGGTGACTCTACACCTCCCTCAGGGAAGGAGCGAAAGGAGCTCTGCCAGGCAGGGGCAAAATATAGCCTCTTGTAAAGATCTATTTTTAAAACTCAAACACAACATTAAAGCAGCAAGAGCATCCCCATTATCCCGCTGCCTGTCACACAATCGAATTGATTTTTCTGTCTCTTTCCCTGATGATACTTGCACACATGTATTTACCTAACCGTGAGCCGTGGATGGGCCATTTCCTATTATCTTTGCATCTGAAGTGGGGTATTTTTTTTTTAAAGATTTTTATTTATTTGACAGAGAGAGAGAGACAGCGAGAAAGGGAACACAAGCAGGGGGAGTGGGAGAGGGAGAAGCAGGCTTCCCGCTGAGCAAGGTGCCCAATGCGGGGCTCGATCCCAGGACCCTGGGATCATGACCCGAGCCGAAGGCAGATGCTTAACCATCTGGGCCATCCAGGCGCCCCGCGAAGTGGGGTATTTTTAATCACCCGTACTGGCTTGCCTCCAGCCAGCTATGGTGTCAGCCGGCCAAAGCCCCATGATTCATCCAGACGGCTCTCCGGCTGCCCCGCTGTCTCCTCTCCCTGCTCCAGCCCCTCCCAGACACACCCTGCTCCTGGCTAAGACCCCGGGGCGTCTGAGGATGGAGGTCCCCCGCCCGGGGGGCCCTCGGTCCCCCATTCCGTCCTTATGTGTCCACATCATTCCCCCACGACAGACTGGGAGACAGGATCGAGTGCTCCGGCCCCCCAGGCCCCACAAGCAGGGCTCCGAGCAGCACCCGCGCCCTGGGCAGGGTCAGACTGTCCCGGAGCACCGGGCTGGACCGGGCCCGGCCACCGGTGAAACACCGGCCCATGCCGGACCACACGTTTGATGGTCTGGAGCGCCAAAGTGAGGTGAGGAATGGCGTGCTCCTTTTTCAGGAAGTCAGTGACGAGCATCTTCAGACTGGCCAGCCGCACAGCTCAGGCACGGCAAACGGGACTTGGGCTCAGGCCTCATGCAGATTTCGGACACCGCTCCGCGCAGCCCCTGAGCTACGAAAACATCCCAGATGCTGGGCTGGACCCTCTGGGTCATGGAACGGGTGCCCGCGGGAGAGAGCCTGCCCTCTGATGGGGCCACTGGAAATCCAGCTGCTGAGAGGCTCTGTAGACCAACGCTGTGTTCCTGCCCGTTGCGGAGGGCACATCCCAGGGACCCCGCGTGCCCCTGCCAGCTCGGACGACTCGGGACCCCCGAGGGGTGTCGGGGTACGATCAGCGTTCTAGGGCCTTTGCAGTTTGCAACAACGCCTCTCTGTCCCTCCTCTTCCTCCTTCCTGGTCCGCACACCTTAGGAAGACGGTTTGATTACGACATGCAGCTGTCCCCCAGAAAGGGCTAGATCTTTTCTAGGCTGCCCAGTGGATAAATGGTCAGGACAAACGGAGTGAGTTGTAAACCACATCGGAAATATGTGAAATTTCAGAATTTCATCCTTCGCAATTCCTTTTTTTTTTTTTTTTAAGATCTTATTTATTTGAGAGAGAGAGCACGAGCAGGGGGTAGGGGTAGAGGAAGGAGGAGGAGCAGGCTCCCCGCGGGGCAGGGAGCCCGACGCGCGGGGCTCGATCCCAGGACCCCGGGATCACGACCCGAGCCGAAGGCAGATGCCTAACGACTGAGCCACCCAGGCACCCTCTCGGTTTGGTTTTTATATGGATAAATACAATTATGACATAAAATTTACCAGTTTTAAGTGACAATTCAATGGCATTAAATACATTCACCATGTTGTGCAACAATCACTACTTACCCATCTCCAGAACCTTACTGCCCCAAACCGGAACTCTGTACTCTGTCCCCATTAAACACTAACTCCCCCACCCATTCCCCTCCTCCAGGTCCCTGAGCAACCACCCTCCTACTTTCTGTCTCTATGAATTTGCCTCCTTGGTATCTCATATAAGTGGGATCATACAGTATTTGTCATTTTGTGTCTGGCTTAATTTAGCAAAACGTTTTCAAGGTTCACCTCTGTAGCCTGGGTGTTAGATCTTCATTCCTTTATAAGGCTGTATAACCTATTGTATGTCTATTACCACGTTGTTTATCCAGAATGTCTCCACCTTCTGGTCATTGTCAATAACGTTGCTATGAACACCGGCATATGAGCATCTGTTTTGAGTCTCTGCTTTCAATTCTTTGGGCTATACACCTAGAACTGGAACCGCTGCAATCATATGATGGTTTAGCTTTTTGTGCATCTGCCAAACTGTCTTCCCCCGTGGCTGTGCCATTTTACATTGCCACCAGCAATGCACAAGGGCTCCAGTTTCTCCACTCTCACCAATACTTGCCATTTTCTGTGGTTTGTTTTGTTTTGGTAGTAGCCGTCCTAATAGGCATGAGGTGCTGTCTCATTGTGGTTTAGATTTGCATTTCCCTAATGACCAGCAATGCTGAGCATCTTGCACTTGCTTCTTGGCCATCTGTGTATCTTCTTTGGAGAAATGTCTGTTCATGTCCTTTGCCTGCGTTCAAGTTGAATTTTTCGTTGGTGAATTGTAGTTCTTTATATATTCTGGATATTAATCCCTTTTCAGATCTATGGTTTGCAAAATAGCTCCCATTCTGCAGGTTATATAGTCACTCTCTCGATGGCGTCCTGTGATGCACAAAAGTTCTTAATTTTGATGAGGCCCAATTTATTTCTCTCTTGCTGCCTGTACTTTAGGTGTCAAAAAATCATTGCCAAATCCAATGTCATGAAGATTTTCTTTGGTTTTCTTCTAAGAGTGTATAGTTTTAGTTCTTACAATTTTAGGTCTTTCATTTGCGTTCGTTTTCTATATGGTGAAAGGTAAGGGTCCAACTTCATTCTTTTATCTGCATATAGATATCCAGTTTCTCCAGCACAGGCTGTTGAAAAGATGCCCTTTCCCACTGAATGGTCTCAATACCCTTCTCGAAGGGCTTGGGTTCTCTATTCTGTACCATCAGTCCATGTCTGTAAGCCAGGACTATACTGTTTTCGTTACGTAGCTTTGCAGGAAGTTTTGGAATCAGGATGCGTAAGTCCTCCGACATTGCTCTTTCTCAAGACTGTTTTGCCTACTCAGGGGCCCCTTGAGGGTTCCTATGAATCTTAGGACGGGCTTACCTATTCCTGCAAAAAAACACCAAGCACGGGGGCAGGACTGGACATGCGAGACTCGAGAACTGTTGAGATGCAAGTGTGGGGGGTAACTCAAGCGTGGTGGGTGCGGGGGTATTAAGGAGGCAGCGAGAGAGAAGTTGGAGAGGTGGGCTAAGGCCCGATCCCACTCAGTAGGAGCCGCGAACAGTTTTCGGAAGCTCATCCGTCAGCTGTGCAATGAGTAATAGAGGAAGGCAGTGGAGGTGCTACATGGGCAGGGAGGAGGGGCAGCCTGGACACCGCCCTTGTCCCCCCACCTACCCCCCACTGCCTACTGGCCACCAAGTTCCTCTCTACTGCAGGGAGTGTCTGAAGAAGACATGGAGGCGGTCAGCCTCAGGGAGAGCTGAGAGGGCGCCGGAACATCCAGGGGAGCCCCCCCGCCCCGAGAACCTGAAGCCCCACACGAGGGAGGGGACGTGCAGGCTACGTACACAGACCACTTGGAACATTCACACTGCGTAAGATACAAAAATGTCACAGGGATCCGATAAAGGAAATCAAAGGGCAGAGAGGCCTGCAGGGGGAATGAGGGGACGAGAGCGGCCTCTGGGCCGGTGTCCTTTCCCACCAAGTAAAACAAAACTAGGTCCCCAAAGTGGTGAGGGCAAGCCTTCCTTCTTGCGTACCACGAAAATGGACAGACGCTGCTGAGACTGAAGAGCGCCAGCCTGGGTGGCATCAGGGAAGGAACCGTGGGCTCTATGAGCTTGGCAGGCAGGAGGACAGCTGAGCCCCAGGCCCCGGGGGGCGAGGGCGGCTCTCAATTCCAGTCCAAGGGCCGCGGCTCACCTGGGCTGCTCCCTCTTACTCCAGAAGATTTGGAAAGGGGAAAAAAAAAAAAAAAAAAGGACGACAGTGTCAAGATTGCACACCTGCTACTTTTAACTTACAAACCGAAGGATTTATGAATCCAGTTTCCCTTCCCTTGCCAGACTGCAGAGGCAGGACGCAGATGCCCCAGTACAGCCGCGTGGAGGTGTCGGAAAGCCCCACCGGAACCCACCCCGGCGTCACGGGGTGGGCCTCTGTTCGGCCACAGGACTGCAACCGCAGCGTGGCCTCAAGGCCGTGCGCCCAGCAGACTGACCCTTGGGTCTCCAGCGTCTGCCAAGGGGCACCGGGTGGGCCCAGGGGGCGTGAGAAGCACCACGCGGGCGTCTCGAGAAGGCTTCAGGCTGAACACCAGTGCACCTGTCCCTCCCCTTCCAGGAGGGGCGGCTGGCCAGCCTCAAGGCTGCCGGGTCGGAGGCCCATCTCCCTCGGCAGCATCCCCCTCTGGCTGATGGTCAGAAGGCCCTGGGAGGTGGTCCCCACACGCCATCCCGCGCCTGGGCCGCCGTGCTGTCTCTCCACCTTCCGCTACTTCTGCTTGTATTCGGGGGCCTTCCCGCTGGGCGGCAGCTCCCTGTGGATCAGGCTGAGGCCGCAGAGGATGAGGAACACGCCTCCCCACCACAAAACCTCCTGGCACTCTCCATACAACACAAAGCCCAGGAAGGCCTGTGGGACAGAGACCACGGTGAGGCCACGTCCACACGTGCCCGCAGGACTCGAGCGCAGCAAGGAGGCACCACCTCACTCCCCCAGGGGCTGACGGCTATCCTGGGGCAGGAGGAAAGGTCTGGAGCTGGAAGTTGGGGGCCTGAAACCCAGCTGTCACCTTCCACAAGTCATATTCATGTCTGGCTCACCTGGAGAGGGGAGGAGGGTGCCTTCCTCACAGCCCTGGCCCCGAGCGAAGTGCACAAGAAAGCCCAGCAGAGGCCAGCCGCTAAGGCCCAGCACACAGCGGGCGCCTGGTGTTTGCTGATCCAAACCGGCCGGCCAAGCCCTCCCTCCCTCGACGGCAGGACCAACTGGGCTCAGCCCTGCCTGGCTGACATCAGGCTATCAGAGGAAAGAGTGGCCCCCCTCCACATCTCACGCTCAAGTTCACAGAGCCCTAGGCGTCCAGCTAGCACAGAGGTGGCCGAGACTTCAGAATGAGGGCTGCAGCCTGGAAGGGCAGCATGCAGGTAGGCTTTCTCACAGTTGGACTTCATTCCCAGCTAGCTTCAGAGTTCGGCCAAGTTTGAGATGAGAGGAGCAGCCCCCAGGGGTCAAGCCACAGCCCACTCTGCGTCAGCTCCTGTCTGCAAGGGCGGGAGTTCCCCAACTCACCCAGAACCCAGCTTTGGGACAGGGGGACTGTACCCTCGGGCCACTCACCGAGCTGAGGATGTTTGAAAACGTCACTGTGACTGATGCAATGGCTGAAGACATGGAGAAACTGAGGCCCCGGCTAAAGAATGTCCACATCAGAGAATTGGTGGTCGCCATCACAATGACTCCCAAGATGCAGAATCCCATGTTCACCTGCGGGAGAAAGTGTCACTGCGGCCACGCTCAGCCAGGGCGGACCTGTGGCCCCCCTCACAGCACACCCAGGGGCCTGATCACCAGCAGCCGGGCCCCTACTGAGACCCCACCACAGCTCCTCAGAGCTTTCCTGCACAGGGCCTCACCTAACCCTATGCTCAGCGCACCCATTTTACAGCTGAAATAAACTGAGACTTACTTGACCGTCTTGCTGGCCATGTGCCCTGGGGCAGAGCAAAATGCTAATCCGTAACCAGTACTTTGTTTAGAACACCAGTCCCTTACTGGTGTTGAAGATCAGCGCCGGAGGGCAAGCAGTTATTAGTCAGTATGTAGTGTGAGCAAATCAGGGGCAGAGTCCTCACCTCCAGGGATCAGATAAAGCGTTAATTTGCCAAGCTTCCTCCCATCCTGTGCAGGCTATAGGACACGCAGGCCAGTCCTGCTGGGCATTCTGGAGTTTTTACTCTGTGCCAGGCCCTGTGCCCAGGTGTTTTAAGTGCATTCTCATTTATTCCTTAACTTCACTTTACAGATAAGGAGCCTAAATTAGTAACTTGCTTATTAAAGTGCCTATAACCCGTGGGAGCCACCAGGATTCAAACCCAGGCAGTGGCTCCATGCTCTTAACCAGGTCGCAGCCCTGCTCAGGGAACCCCCCCCACCCCACTTGACTAGGGATCCCAGGCATCACTTGGAGTACTTGCAGCCTTTTTCTTTCTTTTTTTTTTTTAAGATTTTATTTATTTACTTGAGAGAGAGAGAGAAAGCACGAGTGGGGGGGGAGCAGCAGAGGGAGACGGAGAAGCACTCTCCGTGGAGCAGGGAGCCCGACGTGGGGCTCGATCCCAGGACCTGGGAATCATGACCTGAGTTGAAGGCAGACAGATGCTTAACGACTGAGCCACCCAGGCGCCCCTTTTCTTTTTTTTTTTTTTAAGATTATTATTTATATTTATTTGAGAGAGAGAATGAGAGATAGAGAGCACAAGAGGGAAGAGGGTCAGAGGGAGAAGCAGACTCCCCGCTGAGCAGGGAGCCCGATGTGGGACTCGATCCCGGGACTCCAGGATCATGACCTGAGCCGAAGGCAGTTGCCCAACCAACTGAGCCACCCAGATGTCCTGGAAAGGAGAGGATCTTAAGCCTCCTACTCAACATGCAGATCCCTTGCTTGGTTTTGAGTTAGAAACCTGCTTGCAGACAGAGATGCCTCCTCTGCGGTGACCATCTACATAGCACACTCTTCTTTTTTAAAAAGATTTTAAGTAATCTCTACACCCATTGTGGGGCTCGGACTCACAACTCTGAGACCCAGAGGTGCATGCTCTCCTGACTGAGCCAGCCAAGCGCCCCTCATACTCTTTCTTTCCAGTGTCGTAAGGAAAGGGTGTCTTGGGGCACCTGAGTGGCTTAGTCTGTTAAGCATCTGCCTTTGGCTCAGGTTGTGATCCTGGGGTCCTGGGATCAGGTTCCACATCGCATCGGGCTCTCTGCTCAGCGGGGAGCCTGCCTCTCCCTCTCCCTCTGCCTGCCCCTCTGCCTATTCGTGATCTCTCTTTCTCTGTCAAATAAATAAATAAAATCTTTTTTTTTTTTTTTAAAGGAAAGGGTGTCTGCAGAATTTTCACAAAAGCACTGTATGAACCAGTGGCAACCTGCTTATGTAGTTATGAAGGCCTGGTGCACAACTACACAGACTAGGAAACCTCATGGTTCAGAGTTACTCATCTTCCTTTGGGGCACTTCAAGAATTACACCCAACAGGGCACTAACCTCAAGCATGGTGGTTCCCACTGGATTAGCCCTAAACAGGCTTACCCGCATGGACCAGTCTGTCCACTCTCCAGGTCAGGAACTAACCCTGGGGTATTGGGGCAGTGAAACCCCTCGGGCAGCAGACACTGGCCTACCACTCGGGATGGGAGGGGCAGAGGTCCACTTCAGCAGACGTGTGGAGGCCGTTTAGGAGTTCTCAGCAAGGGGATGGGAGCGGGGTGTCCAGCATGCTTCTCCGTCCTTACGCCTACGTGTCCCAAACTCCCAATTTTCCTGGCAGCAGGGTATATGGGTCGAAACACTCGTTAATTACGGAGCAAAAGAGATGGGCAAAAGGCTTCTCACCTTAAGAGTCACGTGGAGAGACATGTTCAGGCATAAGGGGCTTAAAATGAAAGGTAGAGAGTGGATGCAGGAAAGCGAACTAGCCCAATCGGAGGACAGATTGTAGGTCCCTGGTAGGGAAGACGCTCAGGTCTCTTACCGCCTACACTGGACGAGGATTTGCCGGGATTTAGAATGCAGGGATGCTCTCCCGCCCCAGCTGACTGCAGCGCCCGGCTGCGGACCGGGCCAACAGACCCGCGGGCGTGAGGCTTCGCCCTGCGCCCCCAACCCCAACCCTCCCGGAGCCTCGCGGGCCCCGCAGCGCCCCTCCTCCGCCCGGGCCCACCCGCCCGCCGGCCGCGGCGGCGCCCCGGGCTCGACCTCGCTGCCGAAGGCCAGCTTGGCGGAGGCGGCGGCCAGAGCCCCGAACGCGCCGGCGCACAGGCAGTTGAATACACCCCAGAAGCGGCGCCGCATCGCGCCGGCCTGCAGGTGCGGGGGGAAGTCCGCGGGGGCGTCGGGGTAGGCGGCCGGGCACACCGCGCCGCCAGGGGACTGCGGCCTCTCGGCCATGGTGCCCGCCGCCACCTCTCCCGGCGCCCGGCGCACCCGCCACCAGCGGGACCGAGCGCGTGCCGCGATTGGGCGGCGGCCCCACGTGACGCGGCGCCCACGTGAGCGGGGAGGCCAATTCGGGCGCGGCGAGGGCCTCCGGGGGGCGGGGCCGGGGGCGCAGCCGCGCCCCAGGGGGGGGGCCTCCGGGGGGGCGGCCGGCAGCCTGCGGCGTTGGGCTTAGGTGTGCCCGGGAGCCGTCCGGGGCTGGCGTCGGAAGCCGCGGCCGTGCCGCTGTGGTTGCTGCTGTAGAATAACTATCCGTGACCCGGCCGTTTTAGCCTTTGCCGCTGAGTGCGGCCCAGCATCCGCGTTCCCCAGGAACTTGTTAAAAATGCCGAATCCCGGGCGCGCCCGACACCCCTTGATCAGAATGTGCATTCCGACGAGACCCACTGGGGATTCACGGGCACCTTCCAGTTCGGGAGGCGCGAAGTGGAAAGACGCCTCAGCAGAGGGCGCTAGACACCTCCACACTCGGCCCGGAGGCGGGCTCCGGTGAGGGCCTCTGACAAAGCAAAAGGCCCAGATGGATACGCGCTCACTGTAGGATTTAGAAAATGTAAGTCACCCATAATCACTCTGCTCAGATTCCCAGGACTAACATGACTTCCCATTTCCTATGCACTTAAATGTTTAAAGTGTTTGTGTGTAAAAAGTAGTACATGTCTTTCCAAGAGGAGTGTTGGACTACTTCTCTCCAGGAAAATCATTATTAGCGTACTTTCTGTCTAGGCACAGTTTTATATATAGCACACGTTAAAAAATAGTTTACATAATCTGTATTGGACGTTTTTAGTATGATTTCACACTGAACTGTTGAGCAGCATTTTTTTTTTCCATTCAGGAAGTTTTCGTGGAAGTCCTTCCTTGCCTCTCTCTCTCACAGGGTGGTTTTGTGGCTCAAATTAAAGCATGGATAGCCCTGCTAACTGCTATTTATAGGTTGAATTGTGTCCCCCCCCCCCAAAAAAAGATATGTTTAAGTTCTAATCCTCCACACCTGTGAATATGACCTTACTGCAGATGTAACCAAATTAAGAAGTCATTAGCGTGAGCCTTAATCTGACTAGTGTTCTTCCAGGAGACAGAGACACAGGGAGAAGGCCATGTGACAACGGAGGCCGACTGGAGTGATGCCTCTACGCGCCCAGGGCCGCCAAGGACTGCTGTCGGTACCGCAAGCTAAGAGAAAGGCATGCAACAGATGCTCCCTGAAGCCCTCAGAATGCCCTTGCTGACACCTTGAATCTGGACTTCTAGCCTCCAGAAACTGTGGGAGAATACATTTGTTTTAGCCCTCCAGCTTGTGGTCATTCGTTCTGGCAGCCCCCAGACACTCCCGTAGGCGGGTAAGACCCAACCAAGCCTCTTTAGTACCAGCCTCAGTGCTCCAACCCTTCTCCCACCTCCAGGGCAGTCTCAGTTTCTACACTCTATATGCTGAATTTTTTTTTTTTTTTTTTTTTTTTTTTAAGATCTACACCCAACATGGGGCTTGAACTCACAACCCCAAGACCAAGAGTCCCACGCTCTACCATCACGCCTGCCTGGTGCCTTCTACACTGATTTTTAGTTCCCTTTTTTGTTTCTGGCTCTTAGGGATTGATTACTCTTTGGGAATTCAACTGCGCATTAATTTTTTTTTTAAAGATTTTATTTATTTACTTGAGAGAGAGAGAATGAGAGAGAGCACGAGAGGGGGTAGGGTCAGAGGGAGAAGCAGACTCCCTGCCGAGCAGGGAGCCCGATGCGGGACTCGATCCCGGGACTCCAGGATCATGACCTGAGCCGAAGGCAGTCGCCTAACCAACTGAGCCACCCAGGCGCCCCTGTGCATTAATTTTTTAAATTGTTTTTCCTCAGCTTTATTGAGGTATAACTTACAACCCATAAAATGAAGCCATTTTGAAGAGAGTTTAATTTTTAGAAGATTTATAGAGCTAACTGTGTGCAATTATCACCACAAACCAACACATTTCCACCACATCAAAAAAGTTCCCATCATGCCCTTATGGTCACTTGCTCCCATCCCCAGCCACAAGCCACCGAGAATTTGCTTTCTATCTCTATAATTTGCCCTTTCTGGACATTTCACATAAATGGGATCATACAGGTATGTGGTTTTTTGGGCCTGGCTTCTTCCACTTTTTTTTGTTGTTGTTGAGGTTCATCCATGTTGCCTCTTTTTTATTGCTGCGTATAGTGTTCTATTATGTGTAAAAAATGCCCGGTATCATTAGGCCTTAGGAGAATGTCAGTGATGAGCTATAATGCAAGCTCTGGGATGGCTACACTAAAACATCTGGCAGTAACAGGAGCTGAGGAGGATGTGGAGAAGCTGAACCCCCTGCTGGTGGGAACATGGAGGGTACAACCAAACAGTGCATCCAGAAAGGGGAGGCAGATCTTAGAAAGTTAAACACAAGCTTACCAGCAACTCTACTCCTAGGTATCTTCTCAAGTCATAGGAAACACAGGTCCCCAGCAAGACTGGTACACAAATGTTTACAGCAGCCTTATTCATAATAGCCCCCAAACTGCCAATAGCTCAAATGTCCATCAAACGTTAAGTAAATCAAATGTGGCGTCTCCGCACAATGGAATATGATTCGCAATGAAAAGGAATGAAGTGGTGACACACAGAAGTTCCTTGAGGGCAGGAGGTTTTGTTTGCTTTGTTCACGGATGACCAGGGCATATAATAGGTGCTCATTAAGTATATGGTGAATGGACATGTCTTTAATGTGGCTCTCCCAAGTGAACAATGTAAATCACTTTATTAAACTGTTCATTTTTAAAGGATTTTATTACATTTTGAAAGATGGCCATATTTACAGTCATAAAAAAATGCTCAGGAGAATACTGAAAGTAAGGATACAAAAATAATCTATATTAACAAGTTTGCCTTTTGTACATGCTACTCAATAGGATTAACATCATGGCAAGTTTTGAAACCACTACGTATTGTTAGAGCTGCTGCTGTAAGACTCAAAGGAGATTATGGAAGATAGTATCTAAGGAAAAAATAACCTGGCCAACATCCACTGTAAACCTTAGCAACAGTTTTTTATTTTAAAAAGGCAAAAGGTTTTCCCAGTATTTAGAGCTGATTGAAAGCACTGAAATGGGATGGTAACTTCAAAATAGTATACTGCCGACTGTCACAGGGTGAGTATGGATGCAGAACATTCATCAGAAACTTGAAGTTCAGCCCCCAATGCCACATACACAGTTAGTAATAACGCTACTTGATTCAGCTTTGTCAGATGCGCAAGGGTAGGGCTTACTTTTGCAAGAGGAAAGAAATTCTCCAGAAAGGTGATGCCTAGGTAGGTAGTTGACCAAGATCCTTACGATTCATTCCTTTTCTTTTCTTTTAAAAATACATTTTCAGCACGCAACTTTTCTGTCTCCTGAGAAGGAAATTTAAAAAAAAGGAAAAGAAAAAAAAAATTAAGGCTCAAATGCTTACAGGAAGTTATTCTTTGCATTCATGAAGTTTATATTTCAAATTAAGACTACAACTTTCAATTTGTAAATGATTTATAACATTAAACAAGAATCTGATTATGTTAGAGCCTGACAACGGACTGAATTATCCTTGGAATAATAAGGACTGATATATATTTTTTTAATTCATTAAGTTCCCCAAAGAAGGCATTTAAGTGATTTGATGATTGAATTAAACTTTAAACAATCCTTCTAAGACCAGGCTGAGTTTATGTAAAGTACTTTTCAGGGCTTACCTCAGCGAGCCTGACATTCTCCTTCTTCAGCCGCACGACGTACTGAATCTTCTGATGCAGGTTTTGGTGACCGACCAACTTCCCATTTTCCTCAGCAAGACACTCCACCTGCTTCCTTAACATTTCCATCTCCTGCAGGCAAATCAATCCAGGGAGGTAAAAATGAGCTGCTCTTAATTTTGCTTTTACAATCACATTATTTCGTGCCTCCCAAGAGCACGAAGTAGGTCAACTACTTGGCCAACTACCTGGGTGCCAGAGAGCCCAGCTTCCCGGCTTTCATGGCCATTCATCCCTGCGCATGCCAGAGCAACTCTAAACCACGGGTACCCCCTCCCAGACATGTCCTAAGCACATGAAAACAACCAACACACAAACGCACCTGGAATATTCTCTCCTTTTCCTCATACAGTTCTTCCAGCTTTGATCTCAGTTGTTCCTTTTCTTGAAACGCTTTAGATTCCAAAGTTCTGGTTCGCTCGACTTCCTCGGCCATTCTAAGGCAGTCCATCTCTTTGTTCCGAAGGGCACTCTGGACTTCTTCTAGGCTGTAACAACAAATAGCGTTTTGTGGGATTCCAAAGGAACATAATTACAACAGTATTCAAATGAGACATTTTTCACCCAAGCCCAGAATTTTGATTTGAAAGCGTCACAAATATTCAGCCCTCCCCTAGAGACAGCATAGGGTGATACAGCAAGGATGCAGATAGGCTTCTTTTGTTATTTTATCCAAGACTTTCATTTTGGAAAACTCCTCAAACCATTTTTTAAATAATAAAAATTTAGAATGGAAACTTCTGGATCTGGCTCCTTTGGAGCAAATGTAACTTAAGTAGTATTATAGTCTGCATGGTTTATTCAATGCCCCATATCTTAATTCTTTTGGATTTCAAAAACTGGTTCTCAGACCATAGGACACCAGTCATTTCTTCAAGGATGTGCTATTCAGAATTCATACACTATACAACTATCAATTGAAAAGAAAAACGAGGAACAAAGTTATCATGGAATTACGTAGAAATGCACTGTTTTAATAAAATTGTGTGAATCCTATAAGCTGTCCAAAAGAAACAAGTACTTTTTACTGTATTTTTATGCATATGGAATAGAATGATTATTCTTTATGACATCATACTCAAAATTTAATATGCCATTTAAGGCAAGCTCATTTCAGGAGCAGTGTTTTCAGACTACATTCCGTGGAACCTCAGAAGAACAGCATGGGGAGTAGGC